GGGCAATCTTTTTTTGAAAGAGTGAACTAGAAGGAAAGAGAATGAGTTAGAAAGTTCTAGTAAGCTTTAGCGAGGTCTTTGTGGCCCAAGTATCATCTCCAAGAAGGAAAGAGAATGAGTTAAAAAGTTCTAGTAAGCTTTAGCAAGGTCTTTGTGGCCCAAGTATCATCTCCTGTTCCCATTGCTTTGGAGACAAAGCTAGAAATTCTCAGCAAAGCTCTGGCTGTGGAGAAAAAAAGCGCTATCCAAACTGTTTGGGGGTGTTTTGTAGCTGAATAAGCTGTATGTGCAGATAAGTATGTAGATAAGATAATACCACAGTTTTGTCCTGATACTTCTCAGTAAAGGATAACGTGTTATAAAGGGTAGAAATACGACACAACTTGTGCTTGATTATTTGATTTTTTTGATATGCTTCTCTTTGATAGAAGCAGCAATGCTGGGAAGCAAGGTGTCTGGGTGTTTGAGATTGGTAGCTCATCTGACAGTATTGTGCCTGCCAAGATCAGCAATGTTTTGGAGAGCCTGGAGTCCAATGAAGAAGACCAGGAGATGACTTCAAAACCATTTATGTCAGACTATGGCTCCACTGAAATAACACAGCAGTATATCACAAGTAGTACAGACAGCACTGAAGAGGATCAGCACCATGTTACATACAGTGTTCCTCAGCTAGCTGCAGGAGACTTTCTGACTTCATACCAAGATGTAACAGGAACACCTTCAACTGAGTCTTTTTACAGTCCTCAAGATTTCCCAACAGCAAAAGCTCCACCTCGTCCATTTCAGGTCCAGCAGTTCCCCCCACAGCAACCTCAAGTGATAGATGTGGAAGAATTTGATGAAACTGGAATAGGTAACGTCTTTTGTACAGCCTAGGTCCTTCTAAGATGTATAGGCTGCAAAAAACCAGAGGTGTGCAAGAAATTGAACTAAAGAAATAATGTTTCCTTCTCACTACCTTTCATATCTGAAAATCTGGACACATCTAGTAAGTTTGTGTTACTCATTGAGGTGGTTAACTTGGATGTCACCTCAGGTTCAGATCTTGCCACTCTAGTAAACTAGTTCCCTAATCAATCTCACAGACCTTTCTTAGATGTGTTATTGAATACATGTGATTTAATAAAGCTGGGGAATAGAAACTGTTGCAAAATTTGTTGGCTAGGATTTCATGGCCTCAAGTCTTACAAGGGTGGGATTAGCAATTCTAACTTCTGATAAAGCATTTATAGAAATTTCAGAGCAGTGTGACTGACTGCAGAGATGTTACTTGATTCTTGAAGCAGATGTGAGAGTTGCTATCTTCAGTAAATAATAGGGTAAGCCAGTTAGGATTACAGGGTGCATCAGTTGGTCCACTGTCCTGGGTACTGTACCTATGTGTTTTGTTCTAGGGTTGGAAAATCTCCTTTTTGCTTTGGTTTGGAAACAAGAACAGGTTAAAATTGTGTGTTTAGTTTTGACAAGAAGTTTAACTTATCTGTATTAATATAGATCTGCTGAAGTCAATAGAATTAAACAGCTTTCTAATTTAATAATCATCATAATCATCTTAAATAATGAAACAGCTGATGTTTTCTGCAAAATAGTAGGCTTACTTGCATATTGCAAAATGAAAAAGGTAATCAAGTGAGATCCAGAGATACTTAAAAAGTAGACAAGGGATTTGTGAATACTATAGTAATTACATGAAGTATAAATGTCTGGTTTTATTTTCTACAGTGTTTCGTTACCACACAGATGTCCAACAGACCTGCGCTAACAACCGTCACCAGTGCTCTGTTCATGCTATTTGCAAAGATTATCCCAATGGATTTTGTTGCAGTTGTATTGCTGGTTACAAAGGCAATGGCAGACAATGTGTAGCAGAAGGTAACTTATTTGAAAATCAGGTACATAAGCAGCAATTACCTGTGGCAGTCTTGAACAAGGTGACCTGTTTTCAATACTAAAAGTGAAGTGGTTAAAAACTTTCTGAATGACTTATTACTGAGATACATTGAAAGGTATTTTAAGCAGTGAGCTATACTTCCTAAAATGCTGTGGGGTTTTTTTGAATGAATCAAATTATTTTAGGTGGTCAGCTATATGCTATATTCATTTTAACCTGACTTTCTAGGAAAAATGAACTCTTTAGGAACTGACATAATTTACAGGATAGCATAACATCCAGTGGTATTTGCTAGAATTAGTCATGAAGTTCCAGTGTGTTAGAATCTGATATGGTCCTTGGTCTAGAAATGCACAGCTCAAAGGCATGAACAAATTAAATTTGATAATCAAACTAAAGAGCATGGCTCTTCTTTGAAGCTTAAGCTGCTGTACTAAAGGGCTAATCTGCCAGATTTTTGTTAGGTACCTGTTTAAACTTTGTTGCCATGTAAAATCCATGAAGGAATTTCTTATGTATACGCTTGTAATCCTCATAGTGATTTGACTCAAAGTATAGGTGCATTTCACTTGTAATCCTCAAAGAGATTTGACTCAAAGTATAGGTGCATTTCAGCAAGTAAAATAGCTGACTGCAGATTTTTGTGTTTTGTAAGCCAGGAAAGCAAAACCTAATACTTAACCTTTCAGTTACTGACTGCAGATTTTTGTGTTTTATAAGCCAGGAAGGCAAAACCTAATACTTAACCTTTCAGTTCATAAAATTGTACTTTCCAGAGAAAGAAAAGAAGGATCTGTGATGACAGTGGAATTTCAATTTCCATGTAGGAAATTATATACAGAAGAAAACTAGCAATCCAAACTAGCTACTCCTGTAAAATATTGACAATCTTCAAAATGGTCAATGTTTAGAGTCAAGAAATGTAATAGGTTAGAATAACAGGTCAATTATTCTAATGCCTAATGGTGCTAACCTTCTAATAAGGAATGAACAAATTTACATTCAGAGTGTATTGATATGAAGTGTGATTTTTCAAAAGAAGTTTGTTTGCCATTTACTGTCAGATATACTGTAGCAGTGTTGTGGAGTTACCCTTGCAGACAAAACTGTTAATGAGGATGAAGGGCATCTGTTCAGGCAATTTTGCTCATTTAATCCTCTGTATAATGACAACACACACATAGATACATAAGCAAGTGAACACATGGCAGTTTCTTATCTGAATTCTGTGAGTGTTTGTTTGGCATTTATTTCAACAATATCTTTGAACATTGTGAACCCTCCCAACACATTCCTAGGAGAGTATGAGAGAACTGTCATTTTGTTCTGATGCATTGTATTCATTTTCTAGGTTCTCCTCAAAGAGTCAATGGGAAGGTCAAAGGAAGAATCTTTGTAGGGAATAATCCTGTTCCAATTACATTTGAGAACACTGATCTCCATTCCTATGTTGTGATGAACCAAGGGCGTGCCTACACTGCTATCAGCACAATCCCAGAGACTCTGGGGTATTCTTTACTGCCTCTTGCCTCTATTGGAGGTATCATTGGATGGATGTTTGCTGTGGAACAGCAAGGATATAAAAATGGATTCAGCATTACTGGTAACTTCTAAATTAAAATAATTTTTAAAACTGCTATGCCTTCCTCTGTCTTGATAGAAAAGAAATGTGTATTTAGAACCAATATAGGATGAAAACACATCTATTCTGAGCTGCAAATTGATTCGTTGTAATCAAATTTATCACAATTTTTCTTGTTTACAATATATAGATATTAGGCTTTTTAATTTACTGTCAGTGTACAAGCATGTAAGTGTATTAGCAAGAAGATTGGCTTGGCCAGTTGCCATCCATATTAAAAAGGATCTGAGTTTTGTTACTAGAGTGTACAGAGCTACTCAAGGAAGTTTCCCCTATGTCTTCAAGAGGTCTAACATGTTAATTGCCTGATGGTTCCAACAGAGCAAAAGAGAAACAAAAAACTGACCTTGTGAGAGTCTGAAATTCTTAACAGAACCAATTGCTTCATGACATGCAAATGGCTCTTGTTTGAGGGGAAGCCCCTGTTCACAATTACGGCTTTCCATAAGGATTTGAGGCCAAATCTGGTTGGTTGTGCACATGAATTCAAGCTGTAGATGCAGTCTGCTCTACGAGAACATGTGTTTCTTTTTAAAATTTTATCCTTTACAGCCCTGTAATATGATTTTAGTTGAACATAACTTTTTGTTCTGGGGTTTTCTTGGATTTGGTAAGTTTGAAGTTTCTTCTGGAATTTACAACATATGTTTCATTTGGTTTCAATTTGGAAACAGAGGCACTGGATTTTTAATTTATTTTTTTAAAATCGCTGTATTCCTAATGGAAATCTTGTCTAAACTGCCCGCTCAAATGATAGGATAAGACCTACTGTTATTAGCTTGGCTGGATCTTGGTTCTTTTATTTAAAAGAACCTTGCCTCCTCAGGCTTATTTGCAATTTATCTTGTTCAGTGCTTAAGAAAAGATAGTTTCCTTGCAGTATCCAAGGATATTATACCTCTGAAAGTTATTTCATTAGAAACACAAGGTATTAGCAATTCTGCTACATCAAAGCTTGCAGAAAATAGTAATTTATATTTTATTACTGGAAGCAATACTTTGAATAGAAGGATTCAGAAACTGCTATTACATGGTTTAACTAATGCTCTTTCTTTAGGTGGTGAGTTTACACGGCAAACCGAAGTAACTTTTCTTGGCAACAATGAGAAGCTGGTTGTAAAGCAGAAATTCAGTGGCATTGATGAGCATGGTCACCTTACCATCAGCACAGAAATGGAGGGCAGGATACCTGAGATCCCATCTGGCTCATCAGTCCATATAGAACCATACACTGAACTCTATCACACTTCCAGTTCTGGTAAGGTTCCCTAAGAATGAAGTAAGAAAGTGCACGTTTCTTAAAGCAAAGACTAAGACAATCTGAAAAACATTATTTTATTCCATTCTTAGCAAATGTATTTAAGACCCTTTGATTTATAGAATTATTCCATTCTTAGCAAGTGTATTTAAGACCCTTTGATTTATAGAAAGTTGCTTTTTCCCCTCTTAGGAACAGGTCCCAAAAAGTGGATTTTGAGTGGGGCAATGCAAATGTTTCTAATCTATTTATTGAAGAAGTGTTTAACATTCTCTGAGCTGATGTTGACAAAACACTCAATTTCACTTTTGGCCTTGTTTTTATACTGTTGATGGCAGCATACAAGTTGCAAAGACTTTTGTAGGTCCACAGCTCTTTAATAGGAGCTGTACTGGAGTATATCTTTTTGAAATGTCATTAAGTGAGCTTTGGTCTTGTCCAACGATACTGTGTAAACCAATTATTTGCAGTATGTGTCATGTAAACTGCATTATAATGACTTTGCAAGGATTTATCAGTAGTGTTTGAGCTGACTTTTAACCACTGATTGGAAAATTAGGAACCTCTTAATTCCATTATCGATTTCCCACATTTCTCCCTGCTCTCTCTCTCTCTCTCCCTTTATCATAGACCCTAGATTTCATAGGAGAGCCATTCTTCATTTCACTGTTTACAGGGCGATATCTCTTCTTTTGCTTTCCCCTTCCTGGTGAAAATGATGAGTGTTTCAATATAGCAAAAACAAAGGGAGATTGGAATGTTGCTGCTGGCCAGCCAGCACAGCTGTCAAAGATCAATAAAGAGGAAGCAGCCTGTAGTGCAGCCACATGCACATGAATACTAGAGAAACCTCACTTTGTTCTAAGAGTCCACATTTGCTTGCTAGAGATAGCTCAAAGTGATCTAGTTGTGTCATCATTACCCTGTTATATTCACTTATATCTGGCTTTGGTAGCCAGTGATGAACCCCTCTGTGCTTTGCCTGTTGTTATGGACTGTGAAGAGAAAGTGGAAGCAGCAGGCAGCCTCTGCTTTGTGCTTAAGCAGCTTCAGAGTTTGGAAAAAGTTGTTTGGTCAGCATGTGCTGTATAGAACACTTGCCTATTTGGCCGAAACACTGTTCCCATGGAGGTGAAGTCAGAAGCTGGAGGGAGGCATCTTTCAGGCTGGATTTGATTTACTAGTACTCAAACAGCTGCTATTTTGCTGTGCTATAGCATATCTGACCACATCTAATCATATCTGTTACTTAGCAGAAATCCAGCTTTTGCCAGCTGTTCCAAGTGTATTGATATAGGCGTGTCCTGGTGTCCGAACAAAATTGTGGTGTTCTGAGAACCTTTCTGTTGGTAGGAGGATCCGCAAGCCCAGATCTGCTCTGAAATAATTTTGGTCACAATTTTTCACAATATAGAAAACTGTTGTGCAGCATATGAGAGCTCCCAGCCATGCAGCTTCTTCAGGACTCTGGTAAAATCCAAGGCCAATAGCCTACATTGAACTAAAAGTCCGTTGTAGTGCTGGTGAGATAGCTCTTGTCCTTAGCTTGTAGATCCATTATAAAAATTGACTTAAAGGAGCCTCCAAGTTTGCTGAGTTGAATTTTCCTTTAATCACTTGGCAACCCACAAAGTAAAGTTAAATGTTTAAAATCCAGCAAATTACTCATTTCTCATTACTGTGATACCTGAGGACAGAGTAACCATAATCAAGTACCTATTCCTTTGCGTGGAAAGTACATCCACTTTCATAGCTTCTTGCCTTTGAAATTTCATTTGTGCTACACAGACTGCATCCCAAGCCTACGCTTGGCAGAGTGTTTTTGCTCTCCGTTTTGATCAGTGTGTTTGCTGCTGTGTTGTAGTGATCACTTCATCATCCACAAGGGAGTACACAGTGACAGAGCCAGAAAGGGATGGAGCCGCTCCCACGTACACACGTGCCTATCAGTGGCGACAGACCATCTCGTTTGATGAATGCATTCATGATGATTCTCACCATTCTGTTCCTGCTACTCAGCAGCTCTCAGTGGACAGTGTCTTTGTCCTGTATAACAGAGATGAGCAGATTCTGCGATATGCTATGAGCAATTCCATTGGCCCAATCAGTGGTATGTATGCATTGAAAATGTCTCTTTTTCCCTTTTGTGAGTAGTTAAGAGCAAGCTTCCATATTTTTTAACCTGCCTTAGCTGGGTATTAATGAGTTAAATTAATTCATTGCATTGGTCAGTAGAGTCCAGATCGATCAATTAAGAAGAGAAATGGGACTGGTAAAAGTTTGTATTTTTAGTTGGAAAAGACTATTTAAGCAATTCTCCTTGAAATTCAGTGGGGTTTGTGTTGAATTCCTTGAAATACTCTCAGTATACCACCTTGAATCTATTGCTGCTCAGATACATGGAGTATATTACCTTTATCTAATTTGCGGTTCCTCTATTAATAATTTTTTTTTGCATTGTCAGAGAAAAG